GAAAATTTCCACTGGCTATAGTTAATTCATATTTTATTAAGTTATTAACCTTTACTTAACCAGGCAAATCCTATTGAAATCACATATCTCTTTTGCAAGGGAGGCCTGGGACTGAATGAAGCTTAACATACATGTTTATATATAAATATATATATATATATATATATATATATATATATATATATATATATATATCTGACCTCCTACACATCTCCATCCCCTTTCGCTCTCTCAGATCCTCCTCTTCACTACACCTCCATGTACCCTCTGCCCGCCTCTCCACCATGGGGAACAGGGCCTTCACCTGCTCTGCTCCTCATATCTGGAACTCTCTACCCCCTGACTTAAGAAACACCACCTCTCTTTCTATATTCAAGACTACTCTGAAAACACATCTCTTTAGACTCGCTTATCCTTAACTCTGCTGTATGTATTTTATATTCTTTATGTATTTTATATTCTTTATTCCTGTTGATCTTTGTTCTTACTGTAAAGTGTCCTTGGGTGTCATGAAAGGCGCTTTTTAAATAAAATGATTATATATATATATATATATATATATATATATATATATATATATTTCTCATATGGGTCAGAAACGTTTGTGCATGAGATGCAAATAAAGAAGGGATTAGAAAAACTTCTCTTTAGGCCTGTTTCATCAGATGTAAAAGGCAACTGAACTTTAGAGGGAGGAAGTGTTTTATATGAATACAGTCCCAGACATTATTAATGGAACCTTCAAGAAATACAGGATTATTTTTTCTCGTAACATTTCTAAATTAAATTAAAAAAAAATTCCTAACTGATATGGGGGCTTAGTCACTTAATATTTTTTTATGCTTAAATCAATAAATTTAATGTCAATATTTGGCACATTTTCTCCACAAAGATTTATATAAAGTGACCAGAAGATCAGTTTTGATGTGCAAATTAAAAAAAAGTTTTATATATTTAGATTTTCTTTTTAAACATAATGACTAGATTAAAAAAAAATAATAATCAGATATGAACTAGCTGATAGAGAGCATGGAAAGCACCGAGGAAAATTCTGTAGAAAGTATTTTACAACAATACCAGAAACATTTTGATTCTAGAATTTGGAAAATCAGCAGTAATTCGATGTCTAGCATTCCTTGAACGAATGCATCTCCCTCTGCCTCCTTCTATGCCAACGTTTTAAACTCATCTGATGTTGAGAAATGACAAAGAGCAGTGACCCAACCTTGTACTTGACATTGTGCACAATCTCATGACATATTGTGAGATCTTGCACGATGTATTGGCACTAAGAATATATATTAAGAATATCTCTCAATTATATCACATTACACTTTAACTTAATATATGTAAAATTGTCCAAGTTATGACTATTTTTGTGTTTGCTAAAATCATTTAACCATGGATATTATACTGGAATCAACTCAAAAAATTAATAGGTTGCAAATACATATACAGACGGCCGGCCGGATGGACAGACAGATAGGTGATACTTTATTGATCCCAGGGGAAAATTTGAGGCATCCAGCAGCATCTTCTAATTATACAGAAAAGAAGACACGTGAAATTAAAAAAAAAAAAAAAAAGGAACAGAATACACGAATTTGGAAAAAGACAATATGCACAAGGTGGTGCATACAGTACATACTATGTAGGACTAACAGTTCTAACATAGGGCATACTGTACATACACAGCATGCATCCGGGTTACCACAGATCTACAAGGATCTATTATTACTGTACGGGAAGAGCTGAACAGTCTGATGGCCTGAGGGACAAAGGACTTCCTGAATCTGTCTGTGGAGCAGGGCTGGGACAGCAGTCTACCGATGGAGAAGCTCCTCTGCTTCATGATGGCGCTGTGCAGATGACACTCAGCATTGTCCATGATGGACAGTAGCTTACTGAGGGCCCTTTTCTTTGCCACCGATGTAAAGGACTCCAGCTCTGTTCCCAACACAAAAGCAGCTTTCCTCACCAGCCCAAGTCACCCTGCATCTTTCCTCTAGTGTTGCCTCCCCAACATACAACAGCACAGAAGAGAACACTGGCTACCACAAACTGGTAGAACATCAGCAGAAGTTTTCTGCAGATACTGAAGGACCCACGCCTCCTCAGGAAGTACATACATACATACATATATGTATGAATGTGAATGTATGTATGTGCACGTGTGTATGTATGTGTATATGAAGAAGGGCTTTTGGGGGGTTAGGCTTAGGACTAGGGTGGAAATTAGGGTTAGGTATGTACTGGTAATGGTTAGGTTTAGTGCAAGGGTCAGGGTTAGGCTATGAATGAAAAATTAATGGAAGTCAATACAAAGTCCCCATAAAGATAAAAAGACGTGTGTGTTTCTATATATAGAATGCACAGCTGTAAGGCTGTACGGTGTGAATTGTGAAAATAAACTTAAAATTAGCTGCAGATGTTGTCTGTGGGAGGTTGTTTCCCCCTGAGCATCAGCTGTCTTTATCTAGCTTGCTGAACTGTGGCTAGGCCAAAAGATTTTTCTCCCTGAGCCTGTTAAGGATCAGAAGATCCCATTTTAGATTGACTGCTACTAATGGAGGCCATTGTGCACGCTAAACATGGTGTTTATTGGGCAGCGGGAGCACAGAATGAGCAGAAAAGCACAAAGGAGTCTGTACGAGAAGCCATTTAAGGAAATGTAGATTTTATTCTCTGATTTACTGCCATCAGTCATGCTGTTATCTGACATGTAGTCTCCTGTTTTTCTGATTGCCTTCTATTTATAAGCCAAGAGTAAGAATACTGCGGGAAATTGATTTTTTTTTCTTGTACAAAAACTAAAGGAATAAAATGATCCTTGTGGGTTTTTGAAAAAATCTGCATGAACAATTATCAAATATAGCTTTCTTCTTTTAAGTGCAATTTTTTTACAACTTCTATTTAAGTACAGTTAAGATATACTGAAGTAAAGAGTACGGTGTCAAACTTTCTCTAAACGCCTGTCGTGACTGAGTCAATTTGTTTCACGTTGGGTGTTAACAGGTGGCCTTGTGGTTAACACCTATGTGCAAACTGATTTATCAAATGTTTAGAATGAAAGTTTTTAAGGTCTTTATAGTGTTTTTGATAATTTGTTGAAAAAATATTGAAATTGTCATCAGCTTGTGTCACATATTTGATATTCTGAATCATCTATCGTTAAGCTGCTTGGGGGGTTCTTTACTAGGATCAAGGAAGGAAAAGTGAATCCTGTAATGATTTCTGGTGACGTAAAAAGATAAATCTTAATTGCGATGACTTGTTTAAGTTGTAATGGCTTCATAATTATCACCAGCTGCTCAAAACAGTGTTTAAGTATGTGTTGTGTGTTTCTTTGAAGTGTTAGCAAAATCTCTTAGGAACTATTTGAATGATATTAATGAAACTTCCAGAAAAATTATTGCTTTGCACATCTACAACTTAACTTTTAGAGTCAGCTTCATTCAAAAAGCATGCCACATATTATATAGAAGCAATCTTAGTTAACACAGACAGCAATAGTTGTAGCAGCTGATGATAATCCCCAACACGTTCTTGCAAATAACAGATCAAAAAAAGATTTTAGAAAATTTTGAGATTTACGATTGCAGTCAACTCTGCCCGTCTGTCAGTGAAATATGAATCACTGGATGGATTTTAATGAAACTTTCTGACAGTTTTCACCGGGTGGACACTGACAACTCTTTAACTTTTGGAATATTTAATTCAAGAATGTTGCTAAAACTTATTAATCTCAGCCCCCCCAAAAAAATGCCTACAATACAATCGATTTTACAGATATTGAGTAAAACCTGGTATTAGCAGCTGAGTTTCATCTTTGCTACATAATGCTAACAGTGCTAACAGTTCAGATCACAAGATCTGACCAAAACAGCAATAACTAAAACTTAAGTCAACTCTCATTGTATAACGATTTAGTTCAAAACTTTTTAGTTTAAATTTATTTTTATTGTAAAATCATATCACTGACATATTTATGGTGGTCTGAAGTAAACCCTCTAGCCATTGGCTCTATAATATTCATTGTACTAAATTGGTGCATTTCAATAGATTTGAAATTACTCGAGTGGAAGTGAGACACATCATGACTGCTTTTGCCAAGAGTCTTCAGTAATTGGGACAATTTTAGATGAGCAGCAGCACTGCCATTCATAACCTCTGCTGCATTTAGTACATACTCTGTGGCTTACAAATCAATTTCTGATGAATTTGCCCTTCAGTGACTGATTAAAATAAATGAGAAAATCCATTTGTTGTGCTTCTCCCCTCCATCCAAGTCTGGAGCCTGTTGGCATTAGAAACGTAGCACTTTCCTTGGTGTAATATAGCACACATGCTCCGTTACTCTGTCCATACCCTTCATGATTTTTCTTTATTTTTTTTCCTGATAAAGAAATGACTCGTGTCAGCCAAGCGAAGGACTTGACCTGGTCGCACCCTGCTTTTGGCCAGTAACAGCCAAGTGGGCTCCAGACCCCTGAACAGTATAAGAACAGACATGGAATGGCACAGCCTCTCTAAAATATTGATTATTGCAGAGGAGACAAACTGTTTCTTCAGTTTTTTGGGGGATAAGCAATGAAACAGAGCTCTTCTGGTTTGCAAAAATTGTTTTAAATTCACAAAACACAGAACTGGACTGCAAACATTTAACATTTATTTACCAGATTAAAAAGAAGAATTCACTCTTATGAACATTAGGGATGCTGCAGCTATTGTGACGTCTGTTAAAGTTAGTTTTATAGAACGCTTGCTGAACATCATTAAACAATGCACATCAAAACATAGTGTGGAGGTATGCAATATGAGCAGACAGAGGGCAGCAAAGAGCCATGGACTGAATTACAAGTGCTGGAAACATTATTTTTATCTGAAGATTTAGTCTAAAAGGAAAAGCATCTGGTCTAAAAACCAAGTTTGAAAACTTATCCAGGATAGTCATCATGGATGTACCAATGATGATGCATCGATGGCATTTAAAAGCATATATTAAATAAAAAGTTCATGTTTTTATGTTTACAAAGCAATTCAGAAAACAAAAACTAAAAGAAATATAGGATTTTCTGTGTGTTCCACTAACTGTTTATTACGATGTGACAACATACAAAAAAAAGTTACCGTTGTTTCAGCTGTTAATCCTGGCTAATTCTGCAGATGCTACGTTTGTCTAGATTTATAACTCTCTGGGTTTCCGTCTCAACGTCGCTCCAAACTTGTGAACTCAAAGATGCAGGAAGCGTTGCGACTGCGTCACCAATACATTTGAACACGTGTGTTTCCATGTGAGTCACTGTCAGTTGTGGGCCAGAAAATAAACTCGACACATGCTGCGAGGTGTTTCCTGGATCGTTGTGTTGTATGATTCGGCTGCGTGAGTCATTATGCCATCAACAGGAGGAAAGCAGCACAAGTCGGTCTCTTTGTTCTCCCACTCTGTCTCTGGGAATGAGGCGAAGCTCTGAGCCGTGCTTTAGAAACACATTCCCTGCAAAACACAGCACAGCAACGTGTAAAGAGGACAGTTACCGTCACCAACGCTTCTAAAAACATATTCCTTATGAAAACACATTCCGTTCATTCATTTGTTCAGTCAGTAACACGCAAATTAAAGATGAGCGCTTACACCTTTAAACCCAAACCTTAAGGATTTATGATCCTTCATTACGTCTCGTGCTACTAGTGTTGACGTGTGTGAGGAAACCAGACTAAAACTGCATTCGATCAGTTTCAGTTGTGCACTCAGCCGCGTGAAGAGCGGCTGCAGTGAGAAAAAAAAAAAAGTCAATCTGACAAAAGGTGTCTGAACTGAGACTATTCTTGGCAGCACTGAGTGTAGCATGGATTTAAAAAAAAAATAGCTGCAATGAACGCATCACTTCTATAGATGAGCAGAAGAGACCCAGCTTTGCCTCAGTTTGAAGCAGGCATTATCACTCTTATGCTAAACAACTCAGTCGTCTGTAACCTGGCTTTAATGAAAATGATGACTTGCATAAGAAGAAACATGAACCTCAGGAAAACACAGAGGAGCCAGACAAAACAGAAAATATGATTCCCAGGGACGACACAAGGGCATGACAAGCTGAAGGGAATTCTAACTAAACGCTGGTGAAGCTTCTCAGTCATCCAGGACATGTTAAATCTAAACTACAGGTTTGCCATTATAGGATTTGGAAAGCTGAAATCTGAGACCTTATCCCAGATTTCAGCTTTCAAACATCTATAATGCAGCTTTAGGCCTTTAGACCTTTATATTTAGCTATTTCTTTAGCTTTAGACCCAGTCAGTTTCACACTAATCAAGACCTTTATTTATGTGACCAGAGTGGCCCCTTTAGTCAGACTCAAACAGACCCTAACGATCCTCTGTTGTGAGGAGTGAGAGGGCAATCTGCATGTGTCAATCTGCAATATTCAAGCTTACAGAACACCCCAGCTTTAGAACTTGAACCCCACACGCCTTGTTTCATTGAATTGAGAAAGCTCCTCGGATGAAAACGTCTTTAGCTGCAGAACAGAAGTCCACATGTTTTTGCTTTTAATCTTGTTTGAATTCTAACTAAACTCATTGCTGCTTCTGCTCCAGTCATGCTTTGGTTTCAAATTAAATTCTGAAACTCTGGGCCTTTTCTTTATATAGGTTCACAAAATACAGTTGTCCCTTGATTCTTCACGGTTCGACTTTCGTGGACCCGCCCTTTCGCGGTTTTTCAATGTAAGATTGTACATGACACACAATTGTCAACTTTAAAATTACTCATGCGATTGGGACGGTACAGGATAAAACATTAATGAAAAAATAATAGAAAATACTTTGGGCAGGTGTCGCCATTTTGTAGTTTTCTTTCAATAAGCCTACACCGTAACACAAGTCAAAAGAACTATACTACCCAGAAGCCAACAGTGCTTCCAGCTGCTGCGTTCTGCTGAAATAGACAGTTTTGCAACACAAAGTTAGAAGTAACATCTATCTATTAAGCTCACAGAACTGGCAGGAAAGTAGCAAAATCAACCTGGACGCTGCAGGGTAGGTCTGCTGAACTGGAACTGAGCCCGACCAGAACAGAGCTGCTGGTCTGCAGAGCTGATGCAGTACTGTACAGTACATATACGTATGCTGTTAAGAATTTTGCAAGAGTGTGGGAAGGGTTTATAAAGCCTTAAAATATATATAAATACTAAAATAAATATAGCGTTCCTACTTCACGGTTTTTCACCTATCACGGGGGTGTGTGGAACGTAACTCCTGCAATAATGGAGGGAGGACTACTGTATACATAGAACAGCAGGTCTTGCTTAAACACAAAGCCGTTTTTTGTTAAACTAATAACAGGACCTGAAACTTATTTAGCAGAATTTTGTTTAAAGATATAACTTTTTTGTCACAGTCACGTATTTAGGAAGTGATCAATGATGACAGAACGTTGCAATGTTTTACAGCTTGTAGCTAAAATTGTTTAGCCGTAATTTCAAAACTCTTATTTCTACAAACAACATGTTTTATGAATTTTATGATTTTTTTTTTATTAAAGTCTTTTCAATTTCTCTCCAAGAACACTGTGGTTTTTCAGAGATGGTTTGGGTTTTTGTTCATAAACATATGCAGAAATTATATTTTCCATTCTAATGCATTTAGATAATGAGAAAAAAAATTTACAATTTGACGCCTGCAACACAATAAGTTCTGGAGAAAGGTACGTTTAACTGTGTTAGGGCATCAGACATTTATTTAATTGCTTTGTTAAATTTCTTAAGATAATTGCTGAAAATGCAGGAAGATTTCTGTGTTTGTTCAGGCTGAATAGAAGATGTCAAATGTGCAGTTTCTGCTCATTGTTGTCCGTTTCCCTCTTTTTTCAGAAACAACCAGATTAAGATTATTTGAAGACGTGCTGTTAAAAGTCATTTTTAGTGGGTCGAACATTGCACAGCTGGAATAACTATATACCTAAAAAAAACTAACTTTAGCTCGATTAAAATGTACGTCTTTTCAGATCCCTGTTTTACTTTTGCACCTTCACACCCACATGGCCACAGAGAACCTGCAGGTTCTACAGGTTTTAGCACATTTTGCTAATCAAAGCTTGGATGGTCTCATACTCGGATCGCCTCAACTGTCTTTTTGTCAAAACATGAATTCGTACCTAGAGAACTGAGTTTTAGATGAAGATTAAAATGAATAAATCTACATCTGTAATTTATTGTTGCTCTTCAGAAAACTTTGCAGTGATTCTGTAATTGATGGTTCATAAATAACACCAATGAATGTTTTGTCTAAATTTTTATTTCTACCGTTAACCATTGCCTCCACCACAAAATATGTTGTCAGTTTCTTAACAGGAGACAAAAGCACAAACATGGAGGAAAGAAGAGATGTAAAGAAAGCTGTGCAGATGTTAGACTTCCATGTGTATCGATTCTAAATTGAAAGAAAAGCCAACACCTCAAGTGGTTGTATAAGAGCAACAAGAACAATCAAAATGATTTTTTTCTCTTTTTTCTCCATTGAAGGGAAAAACAACCTCTGCTTTTAAATCAAAGATTATCTTAGGGAAGAGCTGCAGAACAACATTCTAGCTCACCTGCAGTCTGGGCAGGGTTGATTCCTATTCCATCTGCAAAAAGACAAAACAAAAAAAATTATTATGCAAATAAGCAGCACAGAAATGTGTCAGAGGCTTAACATCAGATCAAACACCAAACTTTAATTCTGATCAATCAAAATCCCATATTTGACATTTTAGTCATATTGTGGTTGTTTTCTCATACACACAATTTAAGAGGCACCTACGTTTTTCTGATTTTTGACATGCCAGTTCCATCGAAGACAAATGTAAATTTTGCCTGAGACTTATTGGCAGCATCATGTTTCTAGTTATTTCAATTATAGATGTGTGTAATAAAGCATTTGTTATATTTGGCCTATTTTTTCGAAGCTGCATCAGGTTACAGGAAACCTCTCTTTTCTCACCAGAAACCTACAAATTAAGTTACTGCACTCAATGTTCCCCCTACCATTATCCAAGCTGGGTGGCCCGTCCTTCCAACAGAACCGCCCGCCCCACCACTTAATCCACTAACGGAGAGCGCTGCGGGATCATTGTTTATAATAACACAAAGATTTAATATTTACTGACAACATTGTCCTTTTAATAGTTCAACGCATTATAAAACAGCTTTGGTGTAAAAAGAATAGGCACTGTACGAACAAACATGCAACAACAAACTTACCGTTTGTTATTATTGCACTGGTAGCTGACGGCACTTTGAACTGTAAAAGAAAGTTAAAATGTTTCAAATTAACACACTAATTTTTTTTCTAACGTTTCTTTTGTAGAGGAAATTAATGTCTAAAATCATCAGTATCAGCAGAATATTAAGGCTTATCAATCAGACGTTGCTATCCACATTAATTCTGTCTAAAGTCCCAGTGTAAAAAAAAAAAAAAAAGATTCTTAGCACTGAAAATCTCTGACTTTGTTAGTACCGTATTTTCCGGCATACAAGTCGTTTAATGCGTAGATTTGTCAGTCCTGCGACTTGTACGCAGAAGCGACTTAGGTTAGGTACGTTTTTTTTTTCCATATTCATAACACAATTTTTGAGACGCTTTATATTTCAAAGAACTGCAACAATGAGTCCTCTCATGCACATTTGCTTCACTCAGCTGGTGCAGGTGGAAGAACGCTGGAGAGCTAGTGGTGCTGGCCACGATCCATCCATCCATAATTTAATTAATTTCATATCATCTGGATGGATGGATGGATGGATGGATGGATGGTGGCGCCGTTCCGTTCAGGCAAAATGAAGCTGCTTTGACCATTAAATAAATGCGACAGGTCAGCGGTGACGCATAATAAATGCGACTTTTATATGTTTTTCCGTCTTCGTGGTGCTTTTTTTGACTGAAGCAACTTATACGTCGGAGCGACTTATATGCCAGGAAATACGGTAAGTGTGAAGGGGTTCGTTAAAAAAATATGCTACAGTCTTACAATTACAATGCCATTAGAATCAAATCATAAAAAAATACAAATTTCAGTACAGTGTGTATCCAATGTTTTTCTCTGCCTTTTTTTTTTTTTTTGTTGCACTTGTCAAACACAAATATCATACTTCCACACTCAAACCCTTCAGATAAAGCTCAAGGGGGATGATAAGAACATTTGAATTTGTGGAAATAAATCATTCGGCTTGGTCAAAATACATGCCCCACTTCAGTGTTTGACTGGAAAAGATGGAGGCTGGTGGGATTTGCAGGAAGATGAAAGAAGCAGACTGCCACCAGGGAGATAAGGTTTTCAAAGTACTACATGTAGAAGCAACACCTGGAGAACAGTTTGGATTAAAATTAATGCCTGGAGTTTTTGTTCCATTTCTTTTACGTTTGCTAACACATATAGCCAAAAATGATCATGTCATTTTGTGTTCATCAGCTCTGTTTATTCATTTAGTAATCATTTCCTTTTAAAAAGGACACAGCAGCTACTGATGAGCAAAACTGAATTGCTTAATTATATTAAAATGCATGACCAACTAATATCTGACAAAACAACAGTATTCTTAAAGCGCCTCAACACAAAACAATTAACTTTCATACAATTTTCTATTATATCTCTGTTCCTCTCGGGGGGGTCAAGTCGGTTGTATATAAAGTAAAAAAGACAACCGCTGTGAAATAATGTTCCATCACTACGCTGGTTCATAAGAGAAACAAATTAGAATCAATTGTGAAAACAGCATGTGGCAGCTTCAGCCCCAACACTGCTGTGTTTATTTACACAAAATTAAAAAGAAAATAGAATTAAAATTATTCTAATTAAACTTTGGTGATGGTTATGAGAAAAAAAAAGTATGTAACACATTCACAACAGAATTGGAACCTTAGGACAGTGGTTCCAACTCTAGTCCTTGAGGAACACCATCCTGCATGCTTTAATTGTTTCTCTGCTCCAACACACCTGATTCAGTGATTTAACTACTCCAAGTTCTGCAGAAGTCTGCTAATCAACCATTTATTCAGATCAGGTGTGTTGGAGCAGGGAAACAAGTTAAACATGCAGGATGGTGTTCCTCAAGGACCAGGGTTGGGAACCACTGCACTCATGTTTGATAAAATGGAGGTATGTCAAGTACAAGACAAATAGTTGCCTGAATTTAAGGCACATCTTAATTTTTAATTGCAGTAACATGGGGGGCAGACAGATTTTCCTGAAAACACAAACTGTATGAAATATTACGACTGCTGTTGTAGAGTTTTGAGTGTGTATGCATCTTGTGCGCAAGTCAGTGTGCAGGTAACCAGCCAGGATTGGAGTAAAAACCACTGAGCTGAACAGGGATGGGCTGTCTGATGAGGTGGTGTTGCATAAGAAGAGCTGTGGAAGTGATGACGTCGATTCTCTTCCTTTGCACATCCCGACCAGCCACACCTGACCCGCTGAGCCACGTCAGCCTACGTGTTATTGTAAATAGTTGTGAGGAGTATTGTAGTGGTGGGCTGCAATTTATTTAAATATAATTTTCTCCTGTTTTTTGTTAGTCCAGGAAGGTAACACCCTGACGTTGGTAAGACTCCATTTTGTAAAGTCCATAACTGTAAATAAATCACTATTAGTCTTTAAAACCTTCATCCTGTCTCTGTGGCTGCTTGAGCAGTGCAGAAGATGGAACATCTCCATGTTATGTCCTGGTTTTTCCTAGATGTGGAGTGACCAAAGCCATTTCACAAGTCCTCTTAAGTGAGCTTCTAGTGACTCAAGTACATTTGTGTTAGAGAACTTTAGGTCAAAGTTTATGGATGTTTTCAACTATTATGGCTGAGAATGTTAACTCTGCTCATGAATCATATGTTTGGGTTAGTAGCAAGCTGGATGAGGATGAAACGTGCAGCTGTCACTTCAAGGACGCCTCCAAGTCTGAGCCCGGCTGAAGTGATAAGCGTATAAAAACAAGCTGCACACACGGCTCGTGGCAGATTCTTGTACTTCCTGTATACATGTGTAACCTGTCCTGAAAATCTGACCTTGCAAATGAAATACTAGTTAAAATCTTCTGGTGTCGAGTGCGTCTACTTTTCAGTAAGTGAGATAAAGCGAGAATATTTTTTCTACAACGATTTGTGTCTGGCCAATTAGCATCAACTGCAAGCAGATACAGGTGGGTTTTAGGTGTGGGTAAAATTAAAACCAGGAACTAACACAGCCATTATGCTACTGTAATTATTTTACTTGAAATTAGCTAACCTCAGACATTACCCAATCACCTTTTTAAGTACTGGTAGTTTTTTTCAGTTTTCCCTTTTTCTAAATTGCACATCTTCTAGGTGGCTTTACAAACTAAACCTTAAACTTACCTCCTCAGCTGCGAACTTCAAAACTGCTGTGAATGGCGTACTTTCTGGGACACTAAATCTGCAACAAAAACATTTAACCAAAAGTTAAAATTGAAACTCAGGTGCAATATTTTCCTCCAACAAAGTTTTTTTTTTTTTTTTTTGTTTTGTTGCTGCAAATAACTTTTTTGAGGAAGCTACTATTTTTGACAGTGGTAAATGCATCAGTAAGTAACCCCAGATGTCCACTTTATTAACATAAAACATTAAAACACAAGGCCTTTTATGGAATAGTTTAACATTAAACTTTGACTTGGACCCATCTGCTACAAATCTAACAATGCTGAAGTTTTTAGTGGAGAGAGGAGACCTCCCAAAGAAAACAAAACAGCCCATCTGATATATTTCAAAGTTTAAAAGGCTTAAGATGTAATGGACAAGTAAGGTAATGCAGATGCTGTTGTGATGGGGAGTAAAAACAGCTGGAACAAGCAGCACAGCTAAAATAAACCAAAACAAAAGGAACAAATCAAACTAGCACCACACACACAGAGGGGAAATAAACTGGTCAAAATATAGAGGTCTATAGTCAGTTGACAGAATATTTGATAAAAGGCTCGAGTAGAATCATGGAGTGTTCAAATTCAATCCTTTTACAGAGATAATAATAAAATACTTCATCAGTACCGTCCTCCTGTTCACTCTAACCTCTGCAGTTAAGGACTATTATGACCTCATTTGATAAAAAAAAAAAAAAAAAGCTTTCAGTCAAAACATGAAGGTTAAGAGGCTGATTATTGCATCTGTATTTTAAATCATTTAGTTTTTACTCATGGGTAAGTACACAATTTAGCCGAAGGATAATGAGTTAATAAGTTACGAGGCTATGTTTTGAGTCGGACCCTCATGAATGTCTGTGTTAGACGTGTGAAAGCTAATGTTGAAAACACTAAAAAAAAAAACTTAAAAGGAAAAAAATATTTATTCTTGGCTTTAACACAGCATTAGGTAATCGGTTATATATCTTACATTATATTTTTATATTTCAGTCCACAAAATAAAATGAAATTGTAAGAATGTTTATAAAAAGAACTGCATTGTGCTTTTCTTTTAATGGCAAAAAATAACCCAAAGGTTTACTTGCTTAACCTTGTGTGAAACTACAAACACACAACTATAATATCAAAACCACAATCACATGCTCATCATTCAAACAGCACTGATTAGGTGAAAATGTATTTTGATAACGTGCAGTAATTTATCTATAAATTATTCATCATGTCAAAGAATGCTTAAAGAGAATCTGAGGCCATCAATCCAAACTGTGCAAACAAATGTACCAGTATGTACCAGTACTGTACAAGCACAGAGGGTAAAGTTATTAGTGACAAACAAAACTGTGTCCAGTAGTAAATCTTGACATATTTAGAGAAGAACTGAGTTTTTGAAGAATCAATGCCACTGTATTTAAACTGTTTCTAAACAAAGAAATTAACATGCCTGTCTATTTTTCTTATGACATGGCTTCCCCCCCCACTTATTTCCTATTTCTTGTACCTCTTTCTTTTTTCTGTCTTCTCAAAGTAAATATTTCTTTGACTGTTTGGCCATGTAGGACCTCCCTATGAAACACAAAAGCATGAAAAGACTCATAATTTTGAGGAACAAACCAATGTTTGGTTTACACGTAACGGAACTTAGGGTAAAAAAAAAAAGTACATATATTTCAAATGATCTATTCATGCACTGTGTTATAAGCAGCCTATTGCAACTATTTGTTTCCAATTTTTCAGCTAAATCTATAAAAAAATAAAGATAAAATAATATGATTAAATTTGAGAGCAACAAAAAACATCAATCAAGCACCAAGATTTCAAAAATCTATTCACGAAAAACATGCATCATCAATAAAAGATCAGCTGAGCTCCAGCTCCACCAGAACCACGTCTTGTATTGGGTTTTCCTGCAATTACGTTTTATATTTAGGACATCCCTTTTATAGCACTATAGATAGTTTTAGCATGCACATCTGGGGAAAAAAAAAAAAAAAAAAATTTTTGAAAGTCCATTTTAAACATCCTGATGCATGCTCAATAATCCAGGTAGAAAAATCTAAAAAAGTTAAATCTGGTCCTCTGAGACGGTGCTATTTAAGAGACTGAGCTGAATACAGCTCCTCAGACTGAGGAAGTCTCTCGGATGAGAAACGAAACGTTTCTACATTTTTCCATTTTAAACAATTACAAGAAAGTACAAAGTATGTTTCGTTCGGCTCCTGCCTTCTGCAGGGGTTGCCACAGCGACATGAAAGATTTGGCAATTGTTTTACGCAGGTTGCCCTTCCTGACGCAACCTGAGCTTGAACCGGTAGCCTCAGGATTACGAGGCTGCAGCACTTAACCACTGAGCTGTCTGGTTCACCAAAAAAATAAATAAATAAAACAGTGTAGCATCTTGAACCTTTCACACAGTTATTTGTCAAGAGTCAGACTCAACATCTGGCACAGTTAAGTAAACCAGTTCATATGGTAAAATTATTTTCATACAACAGTTTTGTGCACACGGCGAGCTGTCGGGTCAAAGTATAATTAAGAATACTCCATATAAAATGGGAATGAACTGCTACTAAATGACTGCTGCCAATTTCAGTTTCTGAATCACAGCCTCACACCAACAGATGTACCAGGTACACATTTCACACATTCTCAAAATCGGTGTGACGTCATAACATAATGTCAAAGCACCATTTTAGGATGGGTAAAAATACCATTGTATTGTGGAAAACTGATAAAACTGACAGACAAGTCAAGTTGATTATTTCATTTTTATCTCATATATTCCTTCAAGAATATGCAAGAATGATGTACGGATATGAATGTCCAGAGAAACTCCCGCTGAATATGTGACAAAATGACCCGACGGTGTCGCTCGAGTTGAACTATAAAGTTGCGTACACCTGTACCAAACAGTCTACATAAGACTTATTTTCTAAAAAACTTACAGTTGTGGACCAACAAAGTCCATGCTCAATAATCCAGGTATACAATACAACAACTTTCAGTCAGGTCATCTGGACAGTTTCTAAGAAACGTTTCACCTTCCATCCAGAAGGCTTCATCAGTCAAGGAAACATTCACAAGTTGTGGAGCTTTTCATTAAATGTGAATATATTCAGCATCCTGCTGTTTATAAGATAAATGACAAAATGAAGACTGTCATTTCACACTAATTTGAACAGTCATGCCGTTTCATTCATGTAATAGCGCTTATTAAATAATTTCAGATAAAACATAAAATAACATGTAAATCATTTACAATAAAGAATCCATTAAACACAGAGAAAAAAGTCTAGTACAATTACAGTATATAAAATGCTTTTTCCATTTGCCCCATCGCTGTTTTCAGCACTATGTATCATGTATATGGATATTAGAGGTTTATATTCACTCGAGCCAATGGAGAAGTACAGATCAGTGGTTGTTGAGTTTTGTGTGTTTTAGTTGTTTCCCTGCTCCAACACTCCTGATTTATTTGAATAAGATAAAATAAGAGCTAAGATGTGTGATTCACCCCAGCACACCACAGCATAGAAGATGATGCTGGAGACCACCGAGTGGTAAAACATCTGCAGCATGGTCCTGCAGACATTAAACAACCTGTCTTGTAGAGGGTTTTGGTGTTAGTCCAGTCCAGTTTATTGTCAAGGTGGAAGTACCTGTAGCACACAGTGAATGAATGCATGGTTCTGCAGAACAGTAGTAATCCAATCACTGAATCAGGAGTGTCGGAGCAAAGATATATGCTTAAAGTAACAAAAAAATGCCGGTGATTAAAATGTGCCATAGATCTTGCAGACGGAAAAATTAAACATTTTCTGTTTGGATGGTTCTTGTTTTTAGACGTGCAATCATTCACACAGCAACACCTCTGTATTTTATCAACTTTTCCTCAGATCTGTACAGTGTGTTCCACGTGAACACGCACCCGAATGTCTGACTTCGAGATGTTACACGATAAACCAAATAACTAGCAATATAGCAAATGTTATTTCTCGGAAGATCATTAAGCAAAGCTGGATAAAAAGCGACAGCTGTGAACGCTGAGCTGTCAAATACTCACACTTTGTATGGCAGCCGGGGGTCCGACGTGAGGGTGATTTTAAACGTTACTTTGGACCTAAAATGATCGAGAAAAGAAATGTATAAACACAGAGATGTGAGCGATTAAATACAAGATTGTGTTAATTGAAAATATATATCAAAACGAGATAAAACTCACATCTTTAAGGCGAGCCGACTCCGTTAAATACCTATTTACCTAAACCCGGAAGTTTGAAGGACCCACATATACACGTCATCCATAAAGTAATTACGATATTTCTTTATTTTCATTATTTTCTACCAAAATCAATAGCAGATATTTTGTTTATTTTAATTTTGGACATTTTTATGTCAATAAAAAAACCTTGAAATTTTAAAAAGTGTTTGTTTATTATTCCACGATAACTGACAGGCATTCATACCAGACACCTAATATTTACCGTAAGTAACAAAAATAAAGCGCACATACGTCTATAACTGCATGAGGCGCATTCTGTTTTAATAAAAATTGACAATTGCATATCTTTGTTGGAACTTTAGTTTTTTTTTAATGTAGAACATGTAAAACTATAATTTAATTAAAAGTTTTAATTTCTTGCACAATGGTTTTTTTTTTTTTACAACCACAAGAAAAATCATTACTCAAATGTTGTCATTGTTGTATGTTCCCATATCATGACGAAATTAGTTCTCTGCATTTAACCCATTACACGTATATACTCAAGTAGAGCAGTGGACAGTTATCCATCCATCAATCCATCCATCCATTTTCTTTACCAGTTTATTCCATTTTGGGTCACGGGGGTCGCCGGTGCCCATGTCCAGCAATCACTGTGCGAGGGCGGGGTACACCCTGGACGGGTCGCAAGTCCATCACAGGGCCACATAGAGACAAACGAGACAAACAACCATTCACTCTCTCACTCACACCTAGGGACAATTTAGAGTTACCAATCAGCCTAACATGCATGTTTTTGGTCTGTGGGAGGAAACCGGAGTACCCGGAGAAAACCAGTGGACAGTTATGTGACTATTAAATTACAACAATGTCAGATTTGTTGTAATGACACCAAAAAAACATATTTTGCACATGCAGGGGTGACTGTAGCTGAGCGGCTAGAGCAGTCGTCCTTCAATGCAAGAGCTGGGGGTTCAAATCCACCAACAGTGCACATACCGAACTGGAAAGAGACATTGAACCATTGCAATGTGTGTATGAATGTGATCTAAAGCACTGATTTGTCTCTTTAGAATGATTTGTTCATACAGATTTAGTAGCGTGCTGGATGGATGAGGGCACAGATTGTAGTGTAAAGCTCTTTGAGTGTCTTGATAAGATAGAAAGACGCTGTAAAGTACATTTACCATTTATATATGCCTAATACTACTTTTAACAACAAAAGTTTCTTCAAGATATTTATTGTATTCATTTGCACATATTGTATTTCAATATAATTTACAACTCTTCTTCTTTTGGGTTTTCCCTCTTCAGGGGTTGCCATAGCGAGTCATCCTCGTCCTTTTCACCTTTTTCAACTCTGGCTGATTTTATTATAAAATACCTTTTTTTTATGTCACTATTGATTATACACATAAATCACATATTTACCAATACATAGCATATATACAAAATATAAATATTTTGAAATACTTCTGGTGTACAGCTTTTTTGACTGAGAATAAGTTTATCTAAAAATTATAATGTTTATTTTTAAACTGTAACAATCTATTCATCCATCACCTTCACCCGCTTCTTCCTTTTCGGGTCACAGGGGTCACTGGCGCCCATGGCAGTCACTGTGCGAGAGTTGGGGGACACCCTGGACAGGTCTCCAGTCCATCACAGGGACAAACGAGACAAATAACCATTCACACTCTCACCTAGAGACAATTTAAAGCTACCAATCAGTCCAACATGCATGTTTTTGGTCCGTGGGAGGAAATTGGAGAACACGGGGAAAACCCACGCCTGCCCGAAGAGGACAGGCAAACTCCACCCAAAAGGTTCATGACTGGGATTAGATCGAGTGACCTTCTCGTTGAGAGGCAACAGCTCTATCAACTGAGCCACCGTGCTGTCCCCTGTAATGATTCATGTTTTTAAAAAGTTCACATAAAAACCCAGTAATTCTCTGTCATGTCATTTGGACAGTTTCTTTTTTTATAGAGCTGTTTCACCCTCTATCCGGAGGGCTTCATCAGTGTGTGGAGTTCCAGTAAATGTTTCCCCACCAAGCAGTAAACTCCAACCAGTTTGCTGGAGCTAAGATGATTTCTGGGGTCCGTCCTGTCCTCCGTCGACTTCTCCCAGGCAGACAGCCACAGCCAAAGTGGTTCAAGGCAACAAAGTTCATGCTCAATCATCCAGGTATCAAATCCAATAAGTCTCAGTCAGGTCATATGTACAGTTTCTTTTTTTTATAGAGATGTTTCATCCTCTATCTGGAGGGCTTCATCAGTCTGAGGAGTTCCAGTAAACTGTTTCTGTTTTGTTCACATACAAACAAACTTGAAGCCTGAAGATACTGTGCTATTTAAGCCTGTTAAAGTGAAAACTAACATTTGATTTTGTGCTAAATTGGAAATATCTGGACTTACAAAAATCCCATTTATCATCACACAGAATTTCTGTCTGAATCACCGTTTTCAAGGTCAGCCATGTCTCATTCATGACTGTTTCCTTTGGTTCACAGAGCTACAAAACACAAACCAGACCATAATTTACTTTAAAGTCTGGGTTAAATACCCAAAGAGGTTCTGAATTTCCTGGAGGCTCAGATGATAGTGTCTCAATGTCTGACAAAATCAAAATGTACAGCTATATCACTCTTGATGTGTACTTTTATAATATCTTTTTTATAATATCTCTCACTCTCTGCTCTTTGAATTGAGAAAGCTCCTCGGATGAGGAGCGAAACGTCTTCTGTTACAAATAAAGTCCAGTTGTTTTTGTATTGAACGCTTTTTGAATTCATCATGTCCTGGATGACTGAGAATCTTCACCAGCATACTTTTATAATACATACATTTTTATTCCTACTAAAGTTCTTTGATATAAAGTGACCAAAAAAACGTATTTTGTCCATTTCTAAATTTATAAACAGGGTTTTAATAATTACAGCATGAGCTCAATTTTCAATATTAAAATCAAACCCTTTTGAATTTAAATCCTGATGTTGCAGACAGGAAGTATAGCATGCGCAATGCAATGACAGATGGCGTGAAGAATGGGAGCAGACTCTTCACGATGACTCAGAGATGAAGTGCAGGCACTCAGGGACATACCTTTGGGGTTTAGCTGCAAGAGTTTTCTTGGAAAAACACCCCACACACATTTATAGCAGGAGATGTAAGCTGAGAAAAGAACAAACACAGACGTTTACAGTAATCCATGACCTAACATTTTCACACAATTAACCAAACACATGAAACAGAAGTTGATTCAATTAAGAGAAGCATTTAGAGAAGAGGGAAGTGAAAGACAGTTGTTATGAAACTGAATGAAAAGAGCTGGCTGATCTTTTTCTGCTTGATTATAAAGAAAACCACATCTTTAGAAGAAGGTTCTGTACAGAAATACATTTTTATGCTCTGTCTCAGTGCATAAAATGAAATGGTAAAAAATAAAAATTTGCTTTTAGCTCTGAAATAGTTGTCCATCATCTTTTTTGAAAACGACCAGGAATATATTCAAATCCAAAATGCAGCCTTTGGTGCGTCGTGAGGCCTTTACAGAAAGAGCTCATTAACATAGCCAAAGCAAGTCCCGTGGGCAGAGGCACAAAATGCCAATGACAATCTGCACCTGCAGAGTTAAAACTGTAATTAATGCTAATATTGCTGCTTATTCATGCAAGCACAAAATGATGGAGGCAAAGTGTGCAATACTTGTTTTGCCTGTACGTGACAACCAACTATTTAGTGATCAAAAGGACCATTTAATAATTTGTAACAATTGTTATTGGGTAAAAAGAACTGTGCACTTATTCAGAATCTGTGATGAGAAACGTTATGTCAGAAAATAAACAGAAAAAATAATTTCTCCATAAAGTTTAGTTCTCATGTGAAAACTCCCACGTGTAATATATTTTCTGACATCTCCTGTCGTTATCCTCTTTTCTGATGTTGACAGGAAAATGCAGGATAATTTGCACATTTGCCACTTTTATTGATTTATTCGCCTTCAGATTTGAAGAATAATTCCTACAAATCTTGCTGCTTCATACAGAGAGACGCTTCATGATTAATGTCTCCATAAAGAGCCTCTGACCTCCTTAACCCACACATTTCTTGCTATAATGCTGAAGTTATAACAAGATTCTCCACCTTGACTTGTCTCATCAAACACAACACAACTAGTACAAAGGGTTTTCTGACCGTCTTTGGATTGTAATACATATTATTGATTATTGACAGTTTATTGAAAGAAAAATTAGTGACTTAATCTACAGTATTCTGTATATTAGATTCAGCTTCCTCACAGTTCAAAACATAGATTTCTTTCCTTATATATTACGTCTAAATTATTAAATAAAGTTGTATGAAATAATAATTCAAACATAAATATTTTTAACATGATTTACTTGATTTGACAAACGTTCTTCGCATTTCCTGATAACTTAATATTCTAAATGTGTGTCAAATACTACATTTTTAACACTGACTTTCCTTCTCAATGTTTCTTTACTTATTTAATTATACACAAACACACACATATACAGCGATGACCAAAAACATGCATGTTAGGCTGATTGGTAACTCTAAATTGTCCCTTGATGTGAGTGAGAGAGTGAATGGTTGTTCGTCTCATTTGTCTCTATGTGTCCCTGTGATGGACTTGCAACCCAGGGTGTCCCTCGCCTCTCGCACAGTGATGGCTGGACATGGGCACCAGTGACCCCCGCGACCCAAAACGGACAAAGCGGGTAAAGATAATGGATGGATGGATGGATGGATGGATGGATGGATGGATTTCATCCCCTGATACTGTGTCAGGTTTTTGGACCTAATCTCACCAAAACAATTCATTCTTATAATATTCATTATGGAATTTCAAAAACAGTCAACACTGGAAATTTTTGCAAAGAAAAATTTTGATAACTTTCTCTGACTGTAAATAGTTATTGGAACAGTCTTATAGCAATACTCTGGGGAAAATTCTATACAAAGGGCTTTAAATAAATTTACTCACCCCCACAACACAGACAAAATTACATATTGTGATGAGTATCACCTGCTGCAGCTTTTTCTCCTCCAAGAT